GAACATTACATAGGGTCAAGCTCCCAGACATCCTTCACACACCTCGAGGAAGACTGAAAGCTGCTCCATCTCCTCTGTGCTCAAAGCAGGCAACATGCTCTCTCAGCGATGGGCCCGAGGTACAGACCTGACTTCTGGGAGAGTTACATTTGAGTCTGAGACTGCGCAAGTCGCTGTGACATTCCCCAAAAGGTCTCCTGGAGCCGGATGGTATTTACCAGCTCCACGGTTTGGCTGTTAATAATGGTGTGACGAGAGAGGAAAGAAAACCCCATGCACTAGATATCTTCATGCCTCAGACCCCTGAATAGTACTTCAGAGCACATTTACAGCAAATAATAACCTTGTCCCCCCTTTATCACGGGACTGGGGGTTGCTTTTCTTGCCCCAGTTCTAGTCCCTGACTTGTGTTTGCTCCCTTTGCTCAAGCCTGCTGTGTTCACTGGGTGTTTCCTTTTGTCACAGCGCAATCCACCTCTGAGAGACAGAGCACTGTGTGCTCCGGGAGCAGCCTGAATGTGCAAAACTACCACACTGCTCTTCAGTCCTACCCATATGATTAACATCAGATTTCCCAGGTACTCCGTTATCTTCAGTTTTACTCACTCTCTCCCAGCTCTTTTATCAGCAATCACACAGAGTTAGCTAGGTCATGCAGGTCTTATATTTCACCGTGCCACGTTTGCATCAAAGAACTTTTTTTTTGTTGATATGACATTGATGCCATTCAACTCCAGCATGAAACACTGCTTTTGGTCTAACAAAAACAGCCGTGAGAGTCACCACGTGGCAGCCATATCCAACCAAGCTATCTTGATTTCCAAAAGCACAAAAGCGCTGAAATGTCAGGCACCTGGGCATACCAGCGCTAGTCAATGTAAGAGAAAGGAAGATAAAATTTCAAGGGCACAGATAAAGCTGTCATTTTTTAAAATTATTTTGCTTCCTTCACTGAAATAAGGTACATATTCACAAAATATAAATCACATTTATTTAATATGAAAAGGAGACCTTTTACACAGCGAGGCACAACAGAACAGTGTAAATGAGAACATAAAAAGGCAGTTGCGCTACTGAATTTTAGCAAAAAACTATGCATTTGACAATGCATCTGAGATTTTCCTATTTGTCATATTAGAGGATATCTTTTTACCAACATATGTAAAAGAACTTTTCAAAATAGATTTAGTAGAGGGTTAAATACACCAGTCTCAGTCCTCAGTTAAGAAGAGTTTTAGACAATTAGCTGAACTCTGCATGGCAGCTACTTTTCTTAAGACCAAATACAAAAGATGGAATACGCATGATGACCGTCAGTCTTCATGTAGAGCTACACAGATCTCAAACATTGCAACCAAAGACACTGCTTTGCTGATTTAACTGGAAGTCCAGTATTTTTCTTCTGGAAAGAATGGGATAGAAAACAAAACACCAAGTGGTTTTACTATGAGCTAGATTAATAACCTTTGAATGAGTTAACGATACCTCCTGTGCTAGGATTTTAGTGTTAGTTTTTGTAAAACTGAGAAAATGCAGAACTACAAGATCATAGATGTAAGCCAAGAAAACAGATGTATTTTCATTGTTGAAGTACAAAAAAGCTGTGAATTTTGCCTTTGGTTATTTCTGATTTATGTTAGTTTACATGCCTGGTTTAGCTTCAGGTTTTCAAATGAACTCAAAACTCCATCAACAGAAACCGGAATTTTGCCCAATTTCAGCATAAAACCAAGCATGACACAGTTCAGACAAAGTAACCACAGGAAGAGTATAAATCATAAGCTACAGCCCGAGAAGAGACAGTAACTCACTAGTCAAAACTGGAGTTTATTCACTTGGTCTATATATAATCAAAAAGCTCAACCCGTTAGACTGAAGTTCAGAACTATAGCAGAACTAGAATCCAGGTAAGCTTTAACCCACTTTTGCTTTAACAACAAGAGCTTTACAGAGATTTTGTAACTGCTGTGAATAGGTTGGAAATGTTGTATTCCACAACTATATCAGTTAGAGCTCTGATAAATAAACCAGATGCCATTACAAGTTTGAATTTAATTTGAATGATAACTAAATGGTGGCTCCAAAATTCCAAACCATCTGAAGAATGAGAAGAATAGCAGTTGCCCTGCAGAAAATAACTTCCACGTCCCATTCTGTTACAGTTTGATTTGTGTGAGCTCAATACTTTTCTACATAAAGGCTTTTAAAAACCCATTAATAAAAATGCCATTCTGACTTTCCGATTGACGTACAGTCATCTCCCATGACAAAAGCATTACAAGGGCAGAGTTTGAAAGAGCGTATTGATTGATGTCTGGTGCCTACCTGTCTACAGGTGAAGACTTTGAATTCCGTGGTTTCTTTACTTGGGCATACAAGGCTTCTACTGTCTGCCCTTCCCTTGGGCTCTGTGGTCGCGTGTTCAGTGTTATCGTGCCGCTATTTGAAGAAGAGTCATAGGAAGCAATCCCAGCGTACATTGGGTCTGCATCACAGCCAAATGTCCGGTTAAAATCCTGTATCTCTGCATAGTCACGTTCGCGAGCTTGTCTCTCTCGAAATTCTCGAGTTTTTGCTTGAATTCTGAAAAATTAAAAGAAGGCTGAAACTAATTTTTTCCCCTCAATCATTTGAAAGCAGCAGTTAGCAGACACTTTAGGTAGCCCTACCATGAAAAAAACTGAAGCGTTTCCAGTTTCAGTTTGTCATGAAGTCTCTGGATAGCCTAGATCGAACCAATGCTATAATCAACACTGGTGGTCTTTATGGAAGAAGTCTGATTATCTACTGTCTTTTGTTTCGCTATCAGTTAAATAATGATTAGCCATAACTTTTGGTAAACAGAGTTTACCTGTTGTTTCATGCATCTTAGGATGCCAGCTGCTATTAGCTGAGAATGGCCTGACACCATTCCTATTGCATTGTACTCCATCAAAACCTAACAGACTTAATGGTTCTAATGCCTGTATTTGGAAAGGAATTCTAATGTACTTTCTTGGCCCAATACTACAAAAATCATACTTCTTTTCATACTTCTTTCAGAATTTAAAAACTTCGTAAAGATAGGAAACACACATATATATATTTATGTATGCATGCATGCAGTAAACAGCAGAAGTAAATTCTTATATGAAATGCTTAAAATCTGCATGTTTTGTTTAAAATGTAAACAAACTGAATCTGGCATCTCTCAAAAGTAGGCAGTTTCTTCTCAGAAAGAAACAACATATGCCTTATGTTAAAGTTACAAATGAAAGGTGATGCTGTACTGGGGTTCTGTATCTAGGTGCACTCGTTTAGCTGTATGACAGATAAAATGACAGACAAAAACAGACGACATTTAGGTATATGACAAACACAAATTGAGCACAGGTCATATTTTCAAAAGTACACAGAGCTATTACTAAAATTTGATCTGGGCTTCGAAGTTTCTTTAGCATTTTAGAAAATTTGATGTATCACACACACACATGGCACAGCAAACTGAAAAACATCCCCACCCCCCCCCAATGTTGTCTCCCCAGACCAATTTAATGCTCTGTCATCATTGCAAAATGAAGCTCTCAGCTGTCTCCTCCTTTCCATTAGTAAAATGTGCTCCTTTTTCATCTAATACAGCTACACAGTGTGACAGCATCCATCCATTCAGACTCAGCTTCGTGCACCTCTGTCACATGCCATTTCCAAAGACAGCTTGTTCACCAACTTCTAACAAGAGCAGCCTATTCAAAGCCTCTGTCTCTTTTGAAAATAGAAAAGCCTTAAACTTAGGTAACTTTGACATTTTGGGATATTTTAAACTTAGCCCCACTTGAGATTACTCTTTGCAAGAAGAGAAGGGGATACACAAAGGGTGGGATTCAGGCTGCAGATAAAGACATCAGAATTTAGGCGCCTGCAGTAGGTGAGGTCACACCAGCTATGTGTGCAGGCTCCCTTTACAGTCCAGAGAGTCAGCAGACTCCAGAGTTACGCGGGTGCCATGCTGGTCGGTGTGTCCTAGCACGAAAGGAGTCATTCTATAGACACTTTTGATGCTGTCGTTTAGGTCTTCCTTGGGAGCTTGGACACCCAACCCTGATTCAGCTGCTCAAACACAAGCAGTTATGGCCATCCCCAGGTAATCCTGCTGGACCTCCAGCTGCTGGGCAAGGACTCCTGTGGGTCCTTGTCACATCTGCCAGCCCTGCACTGACATATCAGACTGTGATAACTCAAGAGACACAAGATGTCTGTGTTAAAGCATGTGAATCCAGCTCTGAGCTGCTATGTGAACATCCCAAGCAAATTGTTCTTTCTGTGCTACAAAGATCGCCATAAAAAAAAGAAGAGACTAGAAGGATGGCATGGATAGGCAGAGCTATTTTCCCCCCAAAACCCTAGAAGTATCGACCAAGGATACTGATCTGGGATACAACCGTTTGGCTGAACACCCTTCAACAGCCAGTGCCATCTACGTTGATGGTTCAGTGATTCATTTACATGCCACAAGTTATACCTCAGCATGATTCCTCTTTTTATGTCTACCTCCACTCACTTGTGCACCACAACTCTCAATCGTGTTCAGTCACAGTGGAAAGAAAAACAACCATACCCAAAAAAAAACAAATAGAAGAAATCTAAGAGAGTTTAACTTAGACCAACGTAAATTTTTAATTTTGCAATTTTGCAAATATAAAGTTACTTTCTTTACTTGCTTTTTTATTTTAACGGGCAAAAATGGAAATGAAAACTGTAACACTATTCAGCTGACAGGATGTTATCCTGGAACTTCAGCAACATCAAGCTGGAATTGTTTTTTGTTTTTTTTTTTTGTTTGATTCACAGTGAAGGAGGACTCAGGTTTAAATCCAAAACTCACTTCAAACTTAAACTGTGCTTCTCAATGCCTATTTTTTAAATAAAAATATACATTTTACATTTTCCTATACTCCAAAGCTGTAATTCAGAAGTATTACAACCGTAATCACTTGGAAGGTATCTATGCAGAAGGAAAAACAGGCCCGAAAATGACCCAAAAGTGGTTGTTGATTCCTCTCTCTCCAGGTTTCACTCCCAATTTTTAGTCCTGTATTAATTGCCCTATGGAGAAATGCACTTTATTGATATTTATCCTCTGAATGGGAGAAGCAAAGGAAATCAGAAATTTCCTAGACATTGCTAGAGGTAACTGTAATTTCAATGGACAATGTATCATCACATACTGGAACACTGGCTGACACTAATTTGAGAAAAAAAAAATCCATGTATTTTAGATAACCAGAATTTCAGGGTATGAAATCTGACAGTATAGCAATAATGTGGCATTGAGCAATTCAGTCAGAAGGAAATATTGTTATCTGAAGTGCTTATAAAACAGAATTACCTGGTGGTATCTGGTGATACCGGCATCAATGTTACACTGACTGCTAGAGAGATGCTGGTGAACTTAGCTAACTTTTCACCATGAATATCACACCACTCTGCACAGGTGCAGACAGGATTATCGCCCATTTCATGTTAATCAACTTTTCTCATGTATCTGCTTATCGGCTACTTAATACATTTGGACGCAGCACCATTTGCAGCAAGAACATTAAGATTTTCCCATGCACAGTTCAATGAGGGATACTTATTCCTGTTTCAAATGGGAGGGAACTGATTGTTGAAGTGTTATGCAAGTAATTATGTTCATATCAACCAGGAAGATTTTTAGACTTGTGTTAATACACATATGTAGTATTAAAAATCGGAGTCTTAACGCATTATAAATCTTCATGTTAATTATAACCAAAGAACCCAGTAACCATTTGCAGAGAGTAACACTTAACAAAGGATAACCCTAAAGTGAAATTTATGTCTGACTATACTGACACTCAAAACATTCTGATTTTTTCTTAATTAATTTTCTGTGCTTGAAGTTTAAACCACTGTGCAAGTCCAATTACTTTCACATGACAAAAGTATAGGTATTCTGATTACTTAACATATTTTTGAATATTGTTTCAAATACAGCTTTGTTTTTACCTTTTCCAGGCCATACTACATTTAATCATTATGTCTCCCAACTTAAAGGAACCAAATGACCAGGGAAAAATATGTAGGCATATTACTGAAAAGAGTAACAGCTATCAGCTGAATATTGCACTATCCTTTTTGCAATTATAATAGTTTTTAACTCTGAATATGTTTTCATATAGGAACCTGAACTTAATGCGACAATATTTTTTATGTTGACCCCCCTTCCTTGTGCAGTCCATGTACATGCATGATATGGCCTAAATCACTTGTTAGCATCTACTGCATTAAGTATACATACGGGAAATGCCAGTGCAGGCTACTGTGGGAAAGATTAAAATGATTACGTAAACACACTGTACTGCACAGCCGAGAACTTGGAATTTGCTCTGTACTTCAGCCCTAATCAGCAATGCTCCCGCTACTGAAATTGAGTATCTGGAGAAGTGTTTGACCACAGCTTTGGTTCCACAATGCGGATACATGTATTAAGTTGTCTTCACTGAATTGTATTCCTTCATGACATGGCACAATAAAAATGCCTATGTCTGAAATTTCAGATCAGCTAATTTTGAGGATTTATGGCCTTTCTACAGATTTTGTGGGGGTTTAACAATAATAATAACGCTTAGCATTCACATAACTCTTTTCATCTTCAAAGAATTTTGCAAAATCTGCTAATCAATTTTGCAGTGTTTAAATGTAACCGAACTTTTAAAAATACAAAAGCTATCCCAAGAAGTTTCTAAACCCTTCTTGCTGAAGTGTTTAATAATGAAAATGTCAACAACATACTGTCGTGCTTTTGAGACTGAAATTATAATGTTCAGCAAAGTATAAACTATCCTCATGCATTTGTGTGCCATTCAATTCAAAAGCTAATGATAACTGCTTCAAATGACAATATTGTTAGCTGCAGAACTTCCTATAATTGTTAGAGGAGCTTTTCATTGCAAGCTAATCCAGTAATGATAGACATACCCATTGTATAGTGTTTCCTATGCATGTGAAATGGTGGCCACAACAGTAAGGGAAAAGCCCCAGCAGCTACCTCATTCCCTTCTTCAAAACTCTGTGAGTGAGATTCAGCTTTCAGATGAAGGCAACTACCATTTTAGACTCCTAAATTTAGGTGTCAACATATGTTTTGGACTCCCAGAGGAGCTGGTCAAGATTCAGTCACATCAGGAGGCTGCCCGCGGGGTCTAGAGAGCAGTTCATTTGAACATCTGTAACGTGGCTGTTTTAAAGTTAAGCCAAACCCTTCTCCAGGCTCTACCAACTGTGTGGAGTATCCCGCCCTTAACCACAAAAGGCATTTAGCCATGTAGCTCGTATGTGGATACTAAATAATCACACTGGTCTGAGAGCCCAATCCTACCCAGAGCCAAATGTTTACAGCATTTCTGTCTGAACTAAACTTTAACTTTTTCCAGCAACAGAAAACTCAAATCTGTGATGCTGGCAGAGCTGTTGCGAGTAAAAGTGAACAAGCAAAGTTTGCAAAAGAAGAGAAATAGACCCTAACTTCACATAGTGTTATGAGTGAAATTATAAATACATCCCAAATCCCTCGGGAGCTTCAG